AAAATGAATTTTTAAAATTTTGATCCGAATTACCCCATGCGACTGTACTTGAAATATCGATGACGAACGAAAGAAATTTTAAAAAAATGTTTTTTTTTTTATTTCTTCAAAAAGTACCTTTTTTATCATTTCGATGATAGTTGTTGTTTTAATTTATTTTTCTATCTTCTCATGTTATAGAATTTTATTTTTCAAAATATTTTCTACAAAATGAAACTGATTGATTGATGAAATCGTAGCAAAACGAAAAACAAAAAAAATGACGTTTCTCTATAAGTGAGGGCAGTCGAACAAGTATTTATTTATCAATAAATCCAAAATATAATGATTTCGTAATATAAAATGTTCTTGTCTGAAAAATGAATTTTTAGAATTAGTAGTTTTTTTTTCCATTCTGCCCATGTCGCATATTTACTTGAACTAACGCCGGTATACCGCGGTAGTCGAGAAAACCGGCGGTATACCGCTGGTATACCGTCGGTTGCTTCGAGTACCACGGTATACCGACGGTCGCTTCGAGTACCGCGATATACCGACAGCTTTCTTGAGTACCGCGGTATATCGACGGTAAAACTGTCTCTTTTTCTCTCTCTATGTATGTATATATGATAACGTTCTTTTTAATTTAGATGATTGTGAACATTGCAATAAACAGTAAGTGTTTATTATATGAATTATTATTACTATATTATTGTTTTATTTACGACGATCTCAGTACCAAAATGAAAAGTATGTATTCATGCCAAATATTATTATATTATTTTTCTACTTTTATTTAGAGCAACTTTCAAAACTTCAAAAGAAAGTATTTATTTATTTATTTATTAAGAACTATTTTATTTTTTGTTTAGATTCTTTTGAGAATTATTTAGTCGGAAAAATGTAGCAATAAATAGAACTGTTTATCATCAAATATGCGATTCATTATCTTATGAATCTGAGAATGAATTTATATTATCGTATACAAAAAATTAATTTTATTAAACTTTATCATTGGAAAATTATTTTTTTGTTTTAATTTCAGTATTATATTTTGGTCGTGAGTGAAATGTAGCTGTTTCTGAGAAGAGACAATTTAGTAAGAGCTATATTTCACTTACGACCAAAATTTAATACTGGAATTAAAACAAAAAAAATAATTTTTTAATGATAAAGTTTAATAAAATTAATTTTTTGTATGCGATAATATAAATTCATTCTCAGATTCATAAGAGAGCAGATTACTAGGTTTGCACCTTGATTTTATCGGTAAAAGATGAAATTACCGCCGGTATATTGCCGGTATACCGCCGGTGTTTTTGCAACTACCTGCAGTACCACCGGTTAACCGACGGTAGAGCGCACATTATACCGTTCGGTCAACCGGCGGTATACCGCCGGTTTTTTTCCGGTTCTAATCACATGGGTGCTTTACATACTTTCTCTTGATAGATAAAAGGAAACGTAAAATTGTATGAGGGTGTGGGTGTGGGTGTGGGGTATAGGTGTGGGTGCGGGTATGGGTGTGTAGGTGTGGGGTGTGGGTGTGGGTAGGGTGTTGATGGGTGTGGATGACGTAAAGATCAACATCCACATCCACACCC